TTCTTCTTTCTCTTGCTATGACTGAGGAAAGGCCATGTGAGCACGCACTGAAGAGGCAGCCATCTGCGAGCCAGGAAGTGGATTCCAACCAGGAACTGAGTTTATCAGCAGATTGATCTTGGACTTTCCATCTTTCAGAACTCTGAGAAATAAGCATCTGTTGTCCAAGCCACCTAACTTATGGTATTTTCTTAAAAAGCAACCTGAGCTAATGAAGACAAAAATACTCACTTATAATGATCACATTTTAGAGCATTCCACAGTTCCAAGCTTTCTGAACTTCAAGGCAGGGAAAGAATTCAGTCCATGTAAAAAACAGACTCTATTCCTTATTATCACAAACCTAAATGTGGATCAGTCTGTCTGCACTGTCATATTTTAATCCTGTTATTAAAATGAAAACATAAATTTGCAATTTGGGATTGAAATTTCTCTGTGATCTATGTGTCTGGCCCTCTGTGAGGCACTGTGCATACAATGGTTAACATGATATATGTAGTCCCTGATGTCATTGCACTTATACACTTGTTGGGGAAATAAGAACACATACAATTATAAACACAAATGTTCTGAAGTCAGAGCAATAGGGTGTTGTGAGAGCTCCAGGAGTTCCTGGGAGTGTACAGAGAAGCAGAGACTACAGGTGATCAGGAGTAGGAAAGGTGGAAGGGGAAGGAAGGGTTCAGGCAGAGAGCTGTTTGAGAAACTGAAAGAATTTTTTTGTGCCTACACCACATAGTCAAGAAAGAGTGTTGTGAGAGATGAGCCTGTGTTACCCACACCTAGATTAGGCAGGTTATGTTAGCAACAGGAGTTTGAATTTTATTTTAAGGGCACTGATGAACCACTGAAATTTAGTAACAACCTGATCATAGTTGCATTTTAGAAAGATTGTTCTGGTTTCTGTGTGAAATAGATTGGATTAAAAAAAAGGAAAGAGATAATGATACCCAAGACCTGGAAAAGCTGTAACAATCCAGGAAAGAGATGACAGAACTGGGAAGAATTTAGAGGTATTTATAAGTAGACTCACTTTGGTAATTGACTAGATGTTGGATGGAGGTGCAGAGAAGGGAGGGTCAAGGAAGATATGTATATGTCCATCACATGCTTTCTGGCTATCACATGCTGAAGAGATAGATCAAAGTAGAAGGGCAAGATATTTATTGGACTTTTTCATAAAAAGAGACCTTGGTGAGAGCCATCGTAATTCCATGGTGGCAAGACTGAAGTGGTCTGAGGAGTAAATGAAGATAAAGAAATGGAGTTAATTGGAAGGGTCATTCTTTATTGGAATACTATTTACTGAAACACACCATTGCCTACCTGCCATAGAGTATATAGTTGAGAGAGAATGATGTGGAAAAATAACAGAATATCATGTTTCCATTCTGCTGGTAAGATGGACTTCTAGAATGGGTATTCTGTGGATTGGTGATGTTTCTCCCAGTATTTTGATAGTTTGGGGAGAAATTGGCTGAATTCTTGATAACCCTTCACTTCTATCATTCCAATCCTATTATGCAGGATCAGAGAGTGGCCCAACTAAGCAAATACTTACCAGAAGCCAAGAATTAATTATTATGGCCTCAAATTGAATTGAAAATATAAAGATAGGTCCTGATGAAATGTCTAGTCAATCAGTTCTCTTGGCCTGATTCCATGTTTTCTTCTGGCTTCCCCAAAGAGGTAGTAATACTATTTGCTTAGAGAAATCTGATGACATTTTCGACCAACAGAGTCATTTCTGCACCTAATAGTTTCTGTTCTTTTAAGACTGGAAAGGGTGGTTCTGAAGGAAGTTGCCAAGGGAATTAGATTTGGTTAAATTTCTTGGGAAGAAGTAAAGTTATTGCCTCCAACATGGCCACTTTTTGCCTCACCTACTTTCTCTACTTGCTTAGTCCAGAGCTTGTTGGACAGTCCCACCCCTCTCTCTAACTCATGGGTCCTGCTGAGCTTCCTTTGTAGCATGTGTATTCCTCCTCTGGCCTGACAGTCTGGAGGCTTCTCTTTTTAAGCCCCCGGCTCACTAATTCAGCGTGATTGCTCTCACCCTATTAAGAATAGCCTTGCTCTCTGCTTTTGATGCTGTGATGTTGGCATGACTCTTTCTGATCCAGTTTTGATTCTGCTCCTTTCAGGGCACTGCCTTTTCCCAGACCTTCCTTCTCCATGACCGGTCTGCATACCCTGCTGCATAGACTGTGGAGATTCTGGAGAGCTTGACAACTGGCATGATTCAGGTCTGATTATTTAAGAAGAGAGAAAGTGACTTAATTCACTTCTTATCTTTTTGTTTACAGATTTTTTAACTCACTCCATAATCATATTGGAAAATCCCTGACATTGTAGTTCCCTGTATTTTTGAAAGGTCTCTGCAAGATACTTTAAAACCCCCAGGAAGTTGAAGGCTTGTGGGGGGTAGGGGAAGATAGGCCACTGAACTCAAGTAAAAGTCAGTTTAAAGAGAGAAATAAGTCCATTTAATAGTTTAAGGTGAGAAATGATACAGATGTGAAGTAGAACAGGTGGTATAGATTTGAGACATTTCAATGATACAATCAATAAGGCCTAGTGGCAGATTGGATATTGGGAAGAAATGGATGGGGATTATTCAAGATAACACTGAGATTTTTAGCTTGATGTTCTATTTACTATGATGTTTAATGAGTGGAGAGAAACTGAATAATGAGTTTAGTTCATTATATGTTGAATGTCAGGTGCTTGTAGAATGTTTGCCTAGTGAAGTCTGGTAAACATTCAAAGGTATATGAGTGGAGTTACATAGACAGTTGAAGGCTAAGGATGGGCTCAACAAATCTATTTAGTTTTCTTTATTGTTTTATTTATTTTTTGTTCCTGTGTTTCTAAATAGTAAAGTAAACCAATTAGTGACAGTTTTCAAAGATTGGAATAACATAAAATTTCAAGAAGGAACATAAAATGAGGAATTCTTAGAGTAGAACTGGCAGTGAAGAAGAGAAATGTAAAGATTAAAAAAACTCAAATATAAGAATTTAAAACCCCAGAGTCTTTAGCGTACAACATCAAATGCAGCCAGAAAAGTCACATCGTGGGAAGAATAAAAAGGCCATTGAACTCAGGAACAAAACACTTATTTATATATATATTTTTTTCCTTAAAGATTTTATTTATTTCTAGACAGAGGGGAAGGGAAGGAGGAAGAGAGGGAGAGGAACATCGTGTGGTTGCCTCTCATGTGCCCCTTACTGGGGACCTGGCCCAAAACCCAGGCATGTGCCCTGACTGGGAATAGAACCAGTGACCATTTGGTTCTCAGGCTGGCACTCAATCCACTGAGCCACACCAGCCAGCCACATCCTAGTTTCTTCTGCCTTTCCCCTGCTCCCCCCCCCCTTTTTTAAATTTTATTTTAGAGAGGCAGAGAAACATTGGTGTGTTGTTTCACTTACTTATGTGCTCATTGGTTGCTTCCTGTGTGTCCTGAGCAGGGACCAAACCTGCAACCTTGGTGTATCAAGACAATGCTCTAACCCATGGAGCTACCTGGCCAGTGTGCTCTTCCTTTTCTTTATAGCTGTTTTTAGGTATGTCTTCCTGATGTCTTATTAATTTGTTATTTATCTATTTTTTTTCCCCTCTTGCTTGGAATTTCCTGAGCTAGCATTTATAAATTTCAGTTCTAGAAAATTTTCAGCCTTATTCACTACACCTTCCAGAACTCTGATGTCACACTTCACTCTATCTCATTTTGGTTTTTTTTTTTTTTGGTATTTCTTTTCCCATTGCTATTTAGTCCCCTTGTATCCTCCTCCCCACTCCTGTTTTCTAACCTCATTTCTTCAGTTTCCATTTCTTTATAACCCTGTGCTCCACCTGTGTAACATCTTCAGATTTACTTCCAGTTCATCCCCTTCTCAGGTGTGTCCAATCTACTGCTTTACCATGAAGTTTCTAAATTTGTATTTTCATTTTTAAGTTTCAAACAAGCCAATCTGGTGCTTTTTTGATATCCTTTTCATTAGTCATGCTTTTTCATTAAACATAAGACATTTTGTATTTTGCATGCTATACTTTCTACATCTGTCTTTGCTGGTCTTCTTATCTATTGTTCCTAATGACTTGCTCATAGTGGCTTCTTGTATGCTTTCTGTTTCATTATAAACTCAGAGTCTTTGAAATTTTATCTCAGGTACCTAATTTTTGGAGGCTCAGGTTTAAAGGACAGTCCTCGAGAGACCTGTTTTTCCTGCTGCCAGGTGCCTGGAGGCACCACCAACCTGAGACCACTTTAAACTGAACTATCAGCTTGAGGATTTTCCAGTCCACAGGTAGTGTGACTCCTAGACCCAGACAGTATGGAGAGCCAGCTGTGCTTACATCACTGGGGGTGCGTTTTTTTTTTCCTACTTCACACCTCCCCTTGCATCCAAAGTGAAAGTTCAGTAGGTGAGCTGTGGGATTGGTTCACTCTTTAAATGATTGTGTCATTTTTTGGGTTTAAATAGGAGGGATCTCTGATCTCACTTCCCACTCTGTATGGGCCTTAGGTTTCTGCTGCCCCCACACATGGTCCACCAAGACAGTAGTTCTAGGCCACCCACAAACCCCACACAAAAAGCAGAATAAAAAAAAAAGATGAGTGATGAGAATGTTTATGAACTGGCTCCTACATAAAGTCTGAGTCCTGAGAGCCATCAACAGACTGGATGGCCTTCACCAGCCCGAAGGTCACTGATCCTTTTTTCCTAGGTCAGAATCATTGGTTTAAGGTAAAGGTTGGAGGCCATGAGGACATGATGCACCAGGTCCAAGCAGAGTGAGTGAGTATGTGTGGCATGGCAGAAGGCTGAGCTGCTCTTATTGTCCAGCCCTGGGGCAGTCCAAGAATCCTCGAGTCATTTCTGAGCCAACCTAGTTGAAGGGCAGCTGTGATTCTTGTCCTTGAATGGGAAAGAACCAGGACAGGCCAAGCGCAAGTTTGTCCCCACAGATCCACTTCTCATCGGGGCAGCGGCAGAGCTGAGGACAATTCCTCATTAGACTTTGTTCAAAGGGAGATGTCTCCTGTCCTTGCCTGCGTTTCGGCGCCTTTTTTGACTCAAGGAGCTGTCTAGCTTCTTGCTGCGTTTCAGCTCCTTGAATTTTTTAGCTAGGGCCAACTGGCGCTGCTCAAGATTTCTTCAGGAAGTATGGACGATGGCCCTGCTGGGCCTGAGCCCGCCGCTCCTGCTTCAGGGCCAGGTGCAGCTCCTGCTGCCGCTTTTGCTCCTGCTGTGCCATTTCTTGCTGCTCCATTCGCTGAAGCAGCAGCTGCAGCTTCTCATGCTCCTCCCCTGAACGGTGCTTCTTCAGTTGCTTTTTCACAAGCTCTTTCTCTTTGGCTCTGATGTCATTCAGGAATTCATACGTTTTGTCAAACACTTCAGGATTATATTCCCCTGACAAATCGTCAAAGCGGGGGTCTCGGGCTACCTTCTTACTGATGGGAACAACTTGACGCAAAAATGGCACCCGGACCTTGGCTGACATTTCCAGAGGCCTTTGCTTATCTGCGACACATGCATTTTGGACAGGTGGTCTAGAACCGTGCTTCTTAGTGCTGTTTCCAGCTACCAATTGTTTGTAAGTCTTAGTTCCCACTTTGCTCTGCAATTTCAACAGCTCCTCAAATGACATGTTAGATGTATCCTTCCGTACGTCTCCGGAGGCCACTTCCCCTCCATCCTCCTCGTCGTCCCGGGCTCCACCAGGAGACCCGGGAAGCTCCGGGACGCGGCGGCTTGCTCTCGGCATTGCCTCGTTAGGTGCGGCCACTTATTTATATTTTTAAGAGTGAATTCAGAAGCTGTAACATCTGCTATTTATTACAGTCACAGCCACTGTGCCAGCTGATTTCTGTACAGCACACATATACACACAATACATATGTACACGCAGTATACACACACGTTTCCTTTTACATATAGCTTGAGGTAGGCCTCTGGTTTTCATATGACCCAATGCAAAGAGAGAAACATTCAGCCACAGTATTCTTAAGCTAGAAATGCATATGGGTTATAACTATCTTTAGAACTAATACCTGAAAGATATTTCTTCTGTGGGCTCTTATAATGAGGGCATCATGCAACCATAAAGAACAAGATTCTTGATAATACTCATAGAACAAATTTAACAATAAATGAGCTCACATAGATTTTTAGAAGTCATTTAAAATAGACCAGTGGCATACTGCCAAAGACAGTACATTTAAAACAATTGCTATGGGGAGGGTAATGAAATCCAGACTTATAAGCCATCTGGTTTCAACAAAAATAAAAACTATCATATAGATCTAGAAAGATCACAAATGGTTGCCCATTGGCTATGTCTGGTCAGTAGATATTGTTTTTAGCATGTAGAATTTAAACACTGAATTATTGAAAAAAATAACTATGAGGAGATTTATATAAAAATCCTTATTTTATTTATTTTATTTTTTTCCTCTCTTGAGCATTAAAAGACCTAGAACATAGGCCTGCCTTCTTGTATGGCACCCACTGGGTAGCTGTCTCTTTAGATGGGTAATGTGCTCTTTAGTTTGCCACAGTATTCACTTATTTATATTAATTGCCTGAGCCCTGTAGATATGAAATTTGTGACCTCTACTACAGAGAAAGATAAAGACAGCATGCAGTTCAGGAAACCCTTAATTTGTGGCATTCATTACACTTTTAGATGATTATTGTATGTCACAGTATAAGGTTGTATCCTGTGACAAAAATTTGGAACACAGATGGCACACCTACAGACATTTTTAGAGTAGAGCCATACTTCAATAGCTAACTGCACTTGAGTTAAGGCTGATATCTTTTCATGCACTTGAAAAAATTGCACCTGAATGTAATGTCACACTCTCTTTTTACCCAGAAGTGGGAAGAAGGAAGCTTAGCATGCAGGGTAAAAGTTCCTCAGAAAATTGTTCTGAATTTCCACTGACACATAAAAAAATTGTTGTTAAAAATCCAAATGTTTGGCACTGGCTGGCATGGCTCAATTGGTTGGGTGTTGTCCGGCAAAACAGAAAATTACCGGGTTTGATTCCCGGTCAGGGCACATGCCTGGGTTGAGGGCCTGGTCCCCAGTTGGGGTGCATGCAAGAGACAACCAATGTTTTCCATACCAGTGTTTCTCTCCCTCTCTTTTTCCCTCTATTCTTCTCTCTCTAAATAATAAATAAAATCTTAAAAAAAGAAGTCCAAATGTCTAGATATGATAATTTAGCCTTAAATACATTAAAGTTGGTGTACCAAAAGAATCATAATTTTGAGTAATGCTATTTACTAATGAGACTTCCAATTAAACAAACTATATCCTGGATAATCGAATACAATCACTTGCTACATATATTTAAGTGTTGCTTAAATTTTGAAGAATATTTACATTTATGATCTAGATACATACATTGTAATCTACTTGGTCAAAGGATAAATAGCTGGTGGTTAGGTTGTCTGTAAAGGCTTCACCTAGTTCATATCAGTAGAATAATTTCACTGGCACAAAGAATGTTTCTTTCCAGTATATGAAATGGGCAGGAAGAAAGAGGATGCATCTAATTCATCAAAAATAATTATCAAGTCATTAAGATGCAAGTTAAAGAGAAGGAGTAAGAGCAGAACACATTCTTATTTCACCCACTGTTCTAAAATCTGGGGAAATAGTTGCTCTTTCTTCCTTTTTTGCTCTTTTTTTTAATGCTACATAGCTAAAGCAATAGAAGTGGCTTAGTAGTGTCATAGAGAAAGAAAAGAGTGCTGAGGAGGGAAAGACAAGAATCGCCACACTAAATATGAGAAGAGAAGGAAGTACCACTGAGAGAGGAAAGAGAGAACCAGAAAGGGAGAAACAATGGGGAATATACCCCTAAGTTTTAAGGTAGAAACATCCAACAGCATCAAATGCAGCAAAAAGGCAAGTAATAGGAAGAGTAAAAAGGACATTGACCTTGGGGACAAGCAATTTATTTACATTTTTGAGCGTGAATTCTGTTATTTATTACAGTTAAAGCCACTGCACCAGGTGATTTCTGTATAGCAGCTCTGCCTTCACCATAACCACCAACCTTTAGATGAGAATGAGCTTCCAATAGTTTAATTAATTTGTCTTTGGTAATATTCATTTCTTCATGCCATTAAAACTATTTGATGTAATCCCTACTCTGAAGTAATTCACACTTTCATTTTTCTATATTTGAATGAGTAATGTTAAATTTTCAAATTCTTAATTCAAAAGACTAGAACAAAAGGTAAGGGGAGAACAAAAGGAAAGGGGACGACAGGAGGAGGAGCAAGGAGAGAGACAAAAATCTAGGTTTTACATTTTGTCTTGGTCTATTTCAGCATGTTGATGGATAGCATAATGGTTACAGGAAAGATATGAAAAAGAAGGGACAGTAGGTTGAAGTGATGTCCTTCAAATAAAGTAAAACGTACCATAATTGAATTAAAAAACACAGGTGGGAATTTAAGCCTTGGGAAAAGATGTAGGAATATCTTTTTGAGACAGTGGAAAGGATGGTTGTAAATACACATAGATTTTGTTTTTTCAGGGTGAGGGCCAGAAGTTATGTCTATCAGTTTTGTCTGGGAGATAGAATGGTAGCAAGGGCATCTCTTATGTAAGGGTTGGGATAGAACAAGGTACTAGTCAGGTATGGTCATATATAGAGAAATGGTAAGGGAATTGCCTGGAAATGGGTAGGATTTTAAAGACAGCACTGATTCAATTAAATTCTTTAGGTGATTGTTGGTTTTTGATTCTCCTATTCAAATGAAATCCTGTTGCATGTAGTAGGTAAGTTATGCCTTTGACATTGTTGATTAATCACACGTGGTTTCTTTGCAAGAAGCCTCAGCCGTCCTGGTTTTTGGTATGCATGTGGAGATGGCCATTTCTCACTGCCTCTCTTTTTAGTTGTTACTTTGATTATTTGGAAAACACATCCTTTTCCTAAAGTCTCACCAGACTCAATCACTTTTTGTGAAGTAGCTCTAGGAATGAATTCTTCAGAGAAACTTTCAGTTGCTCCCTTGCATGATTATATCTTTTCCAAAAGTCTGTCAAATAAATTCAGTTCACACCTAGCATAGTTGCCAATTTTATACTCACTGATCAACTGGTGTGTCAGACAAGACTATTCTCAGGTAGCTGCATATTTAGCTAGATCCAATTCTTCTTCCTTTCAATATTTTTTGCTCATTATACCATTACTTGCTTGGTATTCTAATGTACTACTGTATTTTTGTTTATGCTTTACCAAGACACTTGTTTTTTTATTGTTTACTTTGAAAATGAAGTTTTAATAATTAATATTGTTATTAAATGAAATAAAGCTACTTTTAAAGTATTATTTTTAACCATGATAGGGTGTTTCATGATAAGGATGTACCATAGTTTATTTCTTATTATTTGTTTTTCAGTTATTTTTACTTTTTCCTGTTATAAATATCTTTGTACATACATTTTAGGATATTTATTTGATCTAGTAGCTTCAATATTTTTGCAGTTGATTTTTGGATGATTTTATTTCTCTTTTAAGGGAAGTAATAGAAATATATACACATATCTCTTAGCCTACTTCCTTATGGATTAAAATTTCACTCTTTCCCCTTCCTTCCCTCCCTTCTCTCTCACATTTAGAATGAAATTTAGAAAATATTTTCTGTCTCAGGTGATATTAATACATTATTTTTATAGTTGTATTTTTTACAGTTATATTTTTATATGCTCTGATTTTATATGCTCTGATATATGTCTCCTCCTATCTCCTCATCTTAAACCCACAAGAGCTAAGAGATGTCCATAGTGGTGAGCTGATTATCCTAAAACTGTCTATTTTCTATAGATTTAAAAGTGTCATAAACTAAATTCATTTACCTAACATGCACAGATTCATTTCTGGATTGGTTAATACATGCTTTTAAAAAAGATTTTATTTATCTATTTTTAGAGAGAGGGGAGCGGAGGGAGAGAAACATCTACGTGAGAGAGAAACATCAATCTTTTGTCTCTCAGTGACCTTTTGCTTTGAGAAATGTTGCTCAACCAACTGAGCCACACAGGTCAGGCCTTGTTAACACATTCTTGTGCTTGGTAGTACACACTTATGTCACTTACAATAGGTTGGGAAGACAAAGTTTTATCAATAATTTTATTTAAAACCAAATAATTCTTCCTATAATTATAATAATTATGCATTTTATAATGATTTTGTTAAGTTTTATAAAATATCTTTGTGGCTTTGTTTGGAGTTGTGTTTATAGATTAATTAGGGGAAAACTGCATTGCTTATCAAATTAAGTTTTCTAATTCAGGAATATGGTGTGTTTTTCTTTTTAAAAATATTTCCCCTTAAGTATAAATTTTATTTTTTCAGATCACAATAACAATACCTACTCATTGTAGAGAACATGAGAAAATACAGGCAAATAGCCATTTCTTTTCTTCCTCATTTTTGGACCTCAAGTAGACAGAGCTGAGCTAATCATACACCTTCTTGAGCTAATTGTACAGCACTGGTCCTTCAAATGCTCCTTTAAAAGTCAGAAAGGGTTACTTGTTATGACAAATACGCCCAAGTGTCAGTAGCTCAACCATGTAGAAATTTATATGTTGTTCATGTTCACTTTGTCTCAGCCAGGGTCGGGTGGGAAGCCTGCTCTGTCCAGTCATTCTAAGACTCAGGCTCCTTCCATGGTGCAGCTCCCTCCCCAACCCAGGCCCTTATAGGCTATATTAAACTCCCCAGAATAGTCTAT